CCGCTGCCGCCTAGACATCAAGCCGGACGACGCGGTCCTGCAGCACGCTGCCCGGGGTCCGCGGTCCTCCGGGCCCGTCGACGCTGCACCCTGGGTCCGCAGCGCCCCGCAGCTGCACGGCCTCACGGTACCAGGGCCTCGGCACGTGGCGCTGTCCCGCACGCCCACCCCCAGTGACTCGTACTGTGCGGATCCCCGGGCGCTGTACTGCGATGGACCCCTGCCTGGGCCCCGGGACTACGCCGAGCGCCGCAGCCTGCCCTTCGCCACTCCGCCGGGCCCCACCCAATTCTTCTACACCGAGGAGCCAGAGGGCTACCCTGGCGGCTTTAGGGTCAGCCCAGGCCCTCCCTTCGACGGCTACTGCCCCAGGCCCTACGCGTCTGAGGAGCCCCATGGGCCCAGCCCTCGGCACAGGAGCGGCTACTATGCGGGGGAAGTCCGGACCTTCCCGATCGAGGAGCCGCCCTCTCGCTCCTACTACAGCGAGGCGACCCGCGCCTACGGCCCGCCCTGCGGCCCTCGCTATGTCCCTGAAGAGCTCCGGGCCCACCCAGCCGCGCGTCCCTTCCACACGGAGGACTGGGGACGGTACCGTGAACGCGACGCCCTGGCTCGGACTTACCCTTACCCGCGCAGCAGCCCAGCCTGGGGCAACTGGGGCCCGCGGCCTTACAGCACCCTGCAGGTGGCGCCACCCCCTGACCCCCGGCCGCTGCTGGCCTCGTGGCATGGCGGCACGGGTACCAGCCCACCGCGGCTGGCCATTGACAGCCGCCACTACTCACGCTCCTGGGACAACATTCTGGTGCCTGGGCCGCGCCGGGACGACCCCCTGGGCCGGGGCCGCAGCTATGAGAACCTGCTGGGGCGCGAGGCGCGCGAGCCACGAGGCGCATCCCCCGAAGGCCGGCGCCCGCCAGTCGTGGTGAACCTGTCGACCTCGCCCCGGCGTTACGCGGCGCTATCGCTGTCCGAGACGTCGCTGTCCGAGAAAGGTCGCGCCGGCGAGGGCCTGGGCCGCGCCTGGTACGTCACTCCGGAGATCACCATCACCGACAACGACCTTCGCCTCGCGGAGCGCCCGTCTGCCAGGGCCTGGGAAGTGCCTGTGGGCCGCCAGCGGCCTCCGCCGCCCCCGGCCGCCGACTGCGCTGCCTCAGGTCGCCAGCGCAGCCTGGAGCAGCTGGACGAGCTCATTACAGATCTGGTCATCGACTCGAGGCCCCCAGCGGGCCCAGCCGCCGAGCGCGCGGCAGACAGCCCGGGCCGCCAGCTGCGCCGCCTGCTGGACCTGCGGCCCGCTGGCCCCGGTGCCCCTACTCTGGCGCCGCCGCGCTCACCTCCCGCCTCCGCCGGGAGCGCCGAGGAGCCGGCGGGCTCGGGGGAAGCGGCCGACGGGTCGCCGGAACCCGGCGCCGACGAAGACGACCTGATGACCTGCTCGAACGCGCGCTGCCGGCGCACCGAGACCATGTTTAACGCCTGCCTCTACTTCAAGTCGTGCCACAGCTGCTACACCTACTACTGCTCGCGCCTGTGCCGCCGCGAGGACTGGGACGCGCACAAGGCGCGCTGCGTGTATGGCCGCGTAGGCAGCGTGTGCCGCCACGTGCTGCAATTCTGCCGCGACAGCGGCCCAGTGCATCGGGCCTTCTCCCGCATCGCGCGCGTCGGCTTCCTATCGCGCGGCCGCGGCGTGCTCTTCCTGGGCTTCCCGAGCCCCGGCTCGGCCGACAACTTCCTGCGCTTCGGCCTCGAGGGGCTGCTGCTGTCGCCCACCTACTTATCCCTGCGCGAGCTGGCCACGCACGCGGCGCCCCTGGGCAGCTACGCGCGCGAGCTGGCGGCCGCCGGGCGCCTCTACGAGCCTGCCGAGTGCTTCCTGCTCAGCGTGTCCGTAGCGGTGGGCC